AATTTGGGGGAAATGCTCTATTACTTTTAGGCAGTGAAGCAAACTGATGATATTTTTCGGTTTGCATGTTTATAACTGAGTTCTCACTCATTATTTTCCAGAGGTGACCTTGATCTAATACCTTCAGCACCCAAATAGGAGCCAAAGCCTCTCCTAAAATATCCCTGATCTGAAACAAATGAGAGGTAACATCAAGCATTCCGCCTTCAAAGTACCTGCTAATTTGATTGCAGTGAGGATAAAAAGCTTTTCATTACATATCACAAACTTCATTTATGTGGGATGACTCATCAGGCCTTCTGAAAAGCCAAATGGGTACTCAATCTCTGATGCTGCCTTCAGCAATAACATCAATCCTTCCTAGTTCGATTCATCTTTTATCAATTATGCAGAGTTTTTTTTTTCCTGGAAGGGAGGAGATATAGGAAAAAAATATCAATCTTGTAGTTATAAAATGATTTTGCTCCTTGGTCAGAACAGGATTGATCCACATTTTCATCTAAGCCACAAAGGAATTCAATTTTTATACTTGAATGTTAATTAAACTAAACTAAGTAAATCAAGTAAATCTGAATTGTTGGCTGTCTGTTGACTTGACAAACATTTGTCTCCTAGCTTTACATAAAAGCCAATAGACATATTGGATCCATTTGAAGCTAGGATTATTATATAATAGCAGGAAAAATAGTAGGCAATCTCAGGAAACACATCATAGTACATAATGTGTGTAAAGATGTTGCCCTAGGTTTGTGAGCAAGTTTGGGGAGAGCATCTTATCCCATGTTAACACCTTGTTTTTAATGCATGACAAGCAGACCTTGGGCCTGGGAACCAAATTTCCTTGTTCTTCTTTTTGCTCTCCTTCTCTGGATAGACCTTCTGCTTCTTTCATAATATGAGTTTCTCCCAGAACACATACAATTCAGTCTGGATGTAGGGCTTGAAATAAATGACAAAAAAGCATTTAATCTATATGAACTGCCAGTGTATCTTTTCTTTTCAATGCATGCTGACCATCAAGAAATCTGACCGGTCAAAACATAGATTGACTGGGAAAAAATACTATTTTAAAATAGAGATAAGTAACAGTGAAGCTTGAAAGTTTATGAATGCTATCTCTGCCTCTTGAATGTCATGGAAGAGTTGAATACCTGATTTTTGCATCACAGTATCATTTATTTATTTGTAAATGTCACCTTTTTTGTTCCTGATAAAAGCATGTCATTACAAAATTCACTGGCAGGAAAAAAGATGAACCTTTAGACTAAAAATTTAAAATGGAATTTCTGAATAATTTAGCATAGTTGTGTTTCTTGTGTGCCCTCGAAAACTCTTGTTTGCAAACAGCTACCTTACTGCTTATATTCTTATATGAATTTGTTTGCTTGATTGTTAATTTAATAGTATAAGAAGCTGTCTAATCTGTCCTTTCCCAATCTTAAGGTGGGGTGCATGATAATTAGCATATCCAGTGGCACACTCAGTCTCCACATCCAAACATTGCTTTTTCCCTTGAAGTGAATGAGAAACAGGCTGAGAAGTGATATTCTATACATACAACGAGACTATGTAAACTTTTTATTTATTTATTTAGGTGCAGAATTTGTTTCAGTCTTTTCCTGGAATTAATAAGTGAACTCTCTAGATTTAGAGCTTGGTTCCTGGTGAGTTCATAGAACTGCCTGTAGTTTAACACTGACTTCTTTCAGGACATTTTTTTTTCTCCCAATACACTTTAATCCTTCCAAATACAGATCAAATCCTATTTTAGCTTTCAAGATCAATAAAAATTAGCTGGATGCACCAGGAATTAATACATTTCTCAATGCCTGAAGATTGACATTCCACAGGCCACGATTTGAAGGATCTGGGAAAACTTACTAGTATACTAGATACATAGTAAACTTTGGAAAAGAGAGGGAGGAGGTGAGTTAGAGTAAACACTAGTCACAGAGCAGTAATTTCTCACTAGTAATTTGGAATGTCTTCTATAGTTGTTCAACCATCCTTGTGCCATAATAATAAATAGCAATAAGGATGTGCTTTATATGTGCTTCAATAGGACAGTGTGATGCTGTGAAATGATGTGAGTCACTAGCATGGAAATTTATTGTTGTTGTTAATTGCGAAGTCGTGTCTGACCCATCGCGACCCCATGGACAATGTTCCTCCAGGTCTTCCTGTCCTCTACCATTTTCTGGAGTCCATTTAAGTTCACACCTACTGCTTCAGTGACTCCATCAAGCCATCTCATTCTCTGTCGTCCCCTTCTTCTATTGCCCTCAATCTTTCCCAGCATTAAGCCCTTCTCCAGTGAGTCCTTCCTTCTCATTAGGTGGCCAAAGTATTTGAGTTTCAACTTCAGGATCTGGCCTTCTAAAGAGCAGTCGGGGTTGATCTCTTCTAGGACTGACCGGTTTGAACGCCTTGCAGTCCAAGGGACTCGCAGGAGTCTTCTCCAGCACCATAGTTCAAAGGCCTCAATTCTTTGGCGCTCAGCCTTTCTTATGGTCCAACTTTCACAGCCATACATTGCAACTGGGAAAACCATGGCCTGGACTATACGCACTTTTGTTGGCAGGGTGATGTCTCTGCTTTTTAGTATGCTGTCTAGATTTGCTATAGCTTTCCTCCCCAGGAGCAAGCATGGAAATAACCAGGCACAAAAATGTTTTCACGGCTCAACAGAATGCCAACAAAAACAAAGTTGTGGTAGTTTTGCCTGGTATATTCTTGCTATGCACAGTTCTGACAATGGAAGGACACTTAGGAGAACCTCATTGATGGAATTCAGCACCAGAGCAGATTCCTACTGGACAATAAAGACAATGTATCACCTATCCTGCTTCTGAAAGCTTCCCTGCCTCCTTTCCCAAATGAGCACTTTGAATGATGATACCGGATCATCACATTGCTTTGACATTGCTGCTAGAACAATATAGGATATCAATTAGTTACAGTAGGCTAAGCTGCACTGAAGCAGTGGCCACCTTAGCCAGACCATCAGATTCTCTAGGACACTGTAAGTAGTTCTGTTATAGAACTTGACCATATTAGTGGGAGGTTTTATCTCTCAGATGGGAGAGCTTACCGGGGAATTTGTAGCCATTTTATACAGCAGATGCAAGACAGACTCTCTTTTGTGTGCAGAGTATCTAACACTTCATGCATAAGTGGCATCTGTTATCCTGGCACCTGCTAAATAATAGCTCTATTGAGCAATGTGTGCATTACAAAAGTTTAACTTTTCTAGTGCAAATTAGGCTTCCCTATTACTTATCACTAAACAGAAATTAAGACTTTGAGTGGGAAAAACTGTTTCTGTGAAGATTAGCATATAAATGGCCATTCATTGACTATTGAAGAATGGGGCTAAAAAGGAAGCAGAAAATGGGATATCACTCTTTAGAGTTATGCTGTTAGATTCCACTTTTAAGCAACTATTTTGATAATTGCATTTGATTAGAGTGGTTTTGATTCCTGGCCACAATCATTTTGTTGCCAGTCAGCTACATTATGATTGTTTTGTTTTCTGATTATCTCCTTTTTCATCAAGTGCCATTATTACTTATTAGCTCTTACTGAAATACCCCAATGTTTATATTTCTGGGCATATCCCATAATTACTCAATAACTACAGTATTGATTGTACTTCTTGCTGGCATGCCAAGTTGTTAAAAACAATGGCAGACTGGCTGGCCTTTAATGTTCTTCCAAACTAGAAGTCAGTGAAAGTAGACTTAAAGTTTTCTCGCCTTGTGTGATGCCAAAGAACTCTGGAGTTGCTATGCTACGATCTTCTTCTTTAAACAGATTTGAACTTGCAGTGCACGTGGCAAAACCCTCAAGCTTTGTAAAGCTTTGGTGGATACCTGTGGAGCCCAACGTGAGCAAAGGCATATCAGAGGTGGTATAGGCTCTTTAAATAATGCATATTCAGTGTATTACCAAGATGTCATATTGTGAGACATCAGAATCCCGTGAAGAGGTCCCAGAGTAAAACATCACACAAGCATGGTCAGTGTGCTGGCAATGTTCTCAGTAACTCATTTGCAAAGCTGTTTTATCTTTTGCCCCCCTGTCTCAAAGTTTCTCTTTAGCAATGCCTCCCACAGCAAACAAACACCTTTTTTTTTTAATGAACTCAGACTATTCAGCAGTCACATGTAGTTGGATGTTGGGTGGCTTTTGAAAAATATCATCTACCTGATTGCCAAATATTTCTAAGTAAAACAAAATACATTTGGGGAGAGAGACGGAGAGATAAATTGCTTATGAAACCTGGTGCTAAAAGTTTTTTTTTTCTGTTAAGTGGAAAGTAGGTATCTCTTGATACCATCTGAGAAACTGTTCAACTACTGATGAACAATTCCAGAGAGAGAAAACCATTATAATACATGTCCTTTGCTATTTATAAAGTGCCCTTGCTGGCTGTATTCGTTTCTGATTTGGACCTCTTTCTTTCTGAATGGGTTATTGAGTGACAGTCCTGGCAGCTGCACAATGCAGAATTTGCGTGCAAAATCGATTGGGAAGGCTGGAATGATCCATTGTGAAACCTACCTGAAAATGATGCCTCCCCCTTGGAACTTGTTGGCTGCTTTGTATTATTTGGGTAGGATAGATCTGCTGGGTGAATCAGCTGTGTCAGTTTCCAGACAAAGAGCCTTCCAGTCCTTACTCTGAAGATCTCTGCATCTTAGCCGAGTTTTAGGGCTCTGTGAGCCTCCTAATTAGAAGGTGCTTTTAGAATGCATTTGGCACAGCATGATTTAGGAATTAAGAGGATCTAGATTTGCATTTGCTTTGTTTTCTCTTTTATTTTTAAATCAAGGCCATTATAAGTGGCAGGGAAGAAATAACTGGAGAGTCAAATTAAGGCAGAAAAGCTTTGAGATTTCAGCTTTGGAATGCTGGCCGGTTTTGCACCATAAAATTATTTATTTCCAATATTTATTATCTGGGTTTTTTTGTTTTGTTTTTGTTTTTCATTTTCACAGGAGTCTAAAGTACACAGCAAGAAGTAACAATCTCCTGTGCAACAGTATGAACAGGAAAAATAGCACTCAGCAGCAGTTAATCAATAAGGTAGTACAATATACATAAACAACATTACAAAATACCACTGTTAAAAGCTCGTGCAAAGAGGGTGGATTCATGAGGTGCCAAACTTATATTAAGAGTAGTGATGATCAGAACAAGTAGCTCTCCCATACCAGAATTAAAAGACATCTCAGAAAAAAAAGCCATAACCAACTGCAGTGGGCCTCCAAGAGAGAGTCAGGAGATTCAGTAAAAATAAAGACTCTGATGAAACAGTGATCACATCCTTTGGAATTGTTCAATCAATGATTGTGGCACTATAATTTTTTTAACTTTTTTAGACTATTGTTTATAATCAGCTCCCCATGATTTTTGACAGCTCCACAAGAAATAATAAGACACAAAGCAAAATAATATTTCCTCAACATCAGAAAAATAAAACACACTGGATTAAAATTAATCTTCATGAGCATCTTCTTTCAAACAGGAGATAATCTAGCTTTTGAGCTATATTTTATGAAGGCCATCATCTGGAGGAATCCCCATAACTAGGAGACCAAAATCAGCCTGGGGCCATAGACTGTGAATCTCCACTCTTGTGGCAGTGTTTATTTTTTTTACTGACGGCCAATACAATGCAATCATCTTTGTATCTTGAGCTTTATATATTTACTTCGCTATCCTGTGGATTTGCATCATATTTCAAAATATATTTTGAGTTTTATTCACAGTTTATCCTCTTAAATAAAAATGTATAATTCAAAAATATTTTAAATATAGGATTTTATGTACAAGAGATTTACTTGATGATCTAAAATTAGGATGCAGTTGGCTGCTGAATGCTTATTCTCTCTCTCTCTCTCTCTCTCTCTCTCTCTCTCTCTCTCTCTCTCTCTCTCTCTCTCTATATATATATATATATATATATATATATATATATATATATATATATATCATTCTAATAAATTGTTATCAACGGTTCCATAAAAAAGTATAGAACATTTAAACTTCTAAGGAAGAAATGGTGAACTGAAGATGGCTCCAATGAGAACAAAGGTGATGATCGTGGTGGAATGAAAAGCCAACAAGTGGATCAGCTATTTGGAATTCTTCTCAGAACAAGAAGAGGATTTGTTCATGACCTCCAGATAGTTGCTCCTTGTAAGGAGACTACAAGGCAGTAATTTCTGGTGGATTTAGAGGTCTGGCAAATGAGGGAATAGCCATCTTGCTCAAAATATGGTTGGCATCTTTAAAAGAATACTGGGTTTGTATACTACCTTTTCTAATCACTTTTGGAAATTTCTTATCAGCTGCTTTAACTGTTAACTGTTTCAACTATTAGACACCTTTGGATTAACATTTCTTTTAATAAATTGCAAATGAGTTATTAGAACATTGATTTAGGAATGTTACAAATTAACTAAGCAGTCAGATTTTAAATATTTTTTTGAAATTATAAGAATATTTCCTGTAGGAAAATCCTGTAATTTTAAATGTCTATTTATTTATTTATTTATTTTTAAAAAGTTAGAATGGGACTTTGAAGTTTGGACTTTCCCCTAGAGGACACCAGAAGGAACTAAACATTGCAATTATTGAAGAAGAACACTTAAATTTGACTTATTAATACAGAATGGAACAAAATACTTAATACTGGACATATTGAGAAATATTTGTGAACAGTTTGCTCAGAAGTTAATTTTAAGAGTGGCTGCCATTATACATAGACTGTGTTTAAAAATGTTACGGAAGAGGAACACGTTTTATCAAATAAGATTGAGACTGACCAGATTTAAAAAGTCAATTTGGAAATGACAGACTATCAATCAAATCTTTATTTGGTCACAGACCAGCATGTTAGAAATGACAGGCTACAAAAATGATATGTTAAATGATACTGCATTGAATATACAAATAAAATTGGCTGATGTGTTAATAATTAAAAGGGATTTGTGTGTGTTTATATGGATGAAAGAGAGAGAGAGAAAGATAAAAGAGAAGTAGGAGAGAAAGAAACCTGAGCAATTTCTTATATTGGAAAAAATATAAAAGATTTGTTAAAGTCTTAAAGAATTTTGTGAGAAGAAGCAAAGGAAAAAAAAATAATAAAAAATCAAGTTCTAGGACAGTGGTGGCAAACCTATGGCACGGGTGCCATAGGAGGCACTCAGAGCCTCTCTGTGGGCATGTGCGCCATCGCCCCAGTCTTAGGCCTTCAGCTGGGTTTTATAAAACCTTTTCACTTTAGGCCTCCGCCGCCGTGTGCAAAAAAAAAAAAAGTTCAATCAGTCAATTTCAACTTCTTTCAGGAAAAAAAAGATCTTGCAAAGTTGGAATTGATTAATTGAACTTTTTAAGTCCCACCCAGTCTTCCATTACCACTGCAGCCATGCCCACCCAATGGGCCACACCCACCCAATTGGGCACACCCAGCCAATGGGCCACACCCACCCAGCACTCGATGATGCATAAATGGGTTTTGGGTTGCAGTTTGGGCACTCGGTCTCTAAAAGGATCGCCATCACTGTTTTAGGACATTATTTGAAGGGATTAAAGATTGAGATTATTAGAAGCAAAAGGAAAGAGTATAAAGTTGGTTTATTTGATCAAATTTACAATAGATATGTTGTTATCCATGGTAACCCTTAATAGACTTTTGCTGACTAGGGCTGAATGACAAGCTTTTGTGGATTTGTTTATAATATTAATAATAATTGAAATATGGGAAAAGAGATAATTTGTTATATTTTAAGGGAAGATGGAAAGTTACTAAAATTATGTATACTTGTGATAAAGGAGAAAGTCATTTATTATATAGTCCTTTCCTTTTCCTTACTATATTCTTATTTTTCTTTTTTGTATTTTTTATTTTCTGTACTTTCTAGTTTTTTCATTTCTTTTTCTTAGTTTGTATTAGTTTTTATCTTTTTAATTTTAATGTCTAATAAAATTACCATAGAAAGTATTGAGAACTAAAAAGGCTCATAGCAACTGAGTTCTTTAATAATGCATCTTTTCTGAAGATCTCTTTCATTTTACATGAAATCCACTAATAATGAATCAGGAATTTTGCTTTTATAAATCTCAACAATTTTGTGACAGTCCTGCACTGTATCCAAGATTCCTTGATCACATCTCTCACAGCAACAATCAATTATGCATCAAAAAGTACATTGATCATTTCAGAGTTCAAAACCAAGAGGCTGGATATTGAAAGAAATCCAATAAATATTTACGAAAGGCAAGAGAGAAAGCAACTGGTCAGCCAGCAGAATTTCTAAATATATAATAGGAAAATATACTCTATTTAAATAATTGGATATGAGATGGCACAGATCCAATACATGACATGAATCAGGAACAATAAACTTTTCATGGCTTCGGGCTATCATTTTCATTAACCCTTTTGCTTCAGTACTTGAGCACCAGAAGAAATTAACAGAATTTGCTTTGCAGAGGGAGATTAGTGGCATGTTAAACAAACAAATAAATAAATAGTTGATATTAACAATATTGATATCTCCAGGAGGCAGGCAATACCAGTACTTTTACCTTTATTTTTCTTGGTCATCTCTGAGCTTTATGTTGTTGCTGTTTTTCCTTTTACAATGGAATAAAGCTAACAGAGGTTTACTGAATAATTCCTCTTAATTTGCATTCAGAATTCCTCAGAAAATAATGTCTTAAGAGAGATCTTAAAGGAAAAAAATAATGGAAATGGATTTTGTAATTGTTCCTTCCAAATCAATTACTGGTGCTAACTTACTCAGGCCTTGGTCCAAGGTTAGATGTTTAAGTCCTGTTACAACCCTGAATCTATGGCTGACACATTCTTTCTTGTCCTCATGTCAATATATTCCATTTTGGATTACCCTAGTCCATATGCAAGAGGATAGGAATCTAGTTGTCATAATATCACATTAAGGTCATAGACCTGATGAAAAGTAACATTCATATAAGGCAAGAATTTTTAAATATCTGTTATATCTCTCTTATGCAGAGTATATTTTCATTGTGGCAAAACTATGAAGCCATCATAAAAGTATTCCAAGAAATGCTTTGCATCTAATATGCCTACTTGTAAAACAATCACCCTATAAGTTTTCTGCACATCTTTTTTTGTTCCCTCAAGCAAATATCTTTGAGTTGGAGATGTGATTTCTATCTGATATTTATTTTAGAAATGACCTGATCTAGTATTAGAGTGTTTAGTTCTGACTAGGTGAATGCACCTAATCCTTCAGAGGATAAGCAGTCACCTTATCCTTCAGAGACTGAAGGCTCTGTAAGTGGCTTGGAAGACTGGAGAGCAAGTAAAAGGCTTAGCATTGTATGGGTCTTTCAAGTGGAACAAGTGACGAAATGGAAGTGCACTGACATTTTCAGTCATTCTCAAATGTTTGTATTCCTGGGTATTCCTTCTATTAAATCAGAGACAAAAATTTGTTGCTTTCTCTCCAAAATACTGTAAATCCCACCTTGAATTCTCTCTTTCTCCAGCTGAGAAGGTAGGACTGAGGAACATAAAAGGGGCATGGGTGGCATTTGAGGGCCAAAAGCAAAGGACAGGAAAATGTGTGCATTTTCATAATTATTGGGAGTTTCAGGTGAAATGTGTCTGGGTTGATCCAAGCTCATACAGAAAGAAGAAATAAATCTTCCATGTTCTGATGGCTACTGTGGGAAGTCTGTGGTAGAGAGCCATCCACAACCTCTCACAGCAATGGGTGTGTGCTTTCCTCCTCCTGCTACTGCTGCTGCTGCTGATCAGTAGGACTTCTGGAGAAAGAACCAGCTGCTCCAGGAAAGCAGGATCAATGTGTTGCATGAAGTTACTGTAGAAATTGGGATGTCTTAGGAATGGGGAAGGGGGGAATAGTAACGGACATAGGTTGTATAAATAAAATACCTGAAAAGCAATAGGTGAATAGGAAATGGAATTGCTAGATGCAAATTCAGCCATAGGTCAATTGTTTCGCTGGTGGTTCACATAACAATGAAAATATTATAGCACTGTCCTTCTCTTGAATAACAAGAAAAAATGTTATAGAATATATTCCTACCTCTAGAAGGCTTCAGTGAGTAGCTTTATTGCAGCAAAATTATAAAACCATTACATTAATCAACTGCTAAATATGATATGTATAACTATCAATGTTGAATTCTAGGAAGGTTGAGAGTTCAATCTCAATTGAATTTCTTTCCTTATCTACTGTGAACTCCGCATGGTGCCAGGAAGGGCATCTGGCCAGTAAACGCTCAGCTCCATCCTGTCACCCTGAGTTTACCTCAAATTAAGGGATTACAGGGCTGTAAAAAGAAAAGGTTCTTTTTTTCCCCTACATATTGTATGTTCCTTGATTGGTCTAATGTATTATCAACTTGCTTATTTTTGTCTATATAAAACTTTTACATCAAGTTGGACTTTCTATCTGTTCCTTTTTTAGGTTTACTTTTGTAATTACGGGCTATTAGTTCTCCTTTGGGCTACATTTGCGAAGTTGTTTCTAGTTAATCAAACTTTATTCTAGATGCTCTTTCTAAGTGTGAGCTAACATAGAATGATCAAGGTTACCAGTTGACAACGAATTTCAGAATGTAAATAGCTTTCTTTTAATTCACTCATCTTTCAACCTGAAAGACAGCAATGTCTTATTTTGTTTTAGGAAGAATTATTTAATTTAGCATCAGCATAAGTATCACATTAGTCTTCTGTTATCTCAGTTCCTGAATTTGCAGTTCACTAAATACAGAAGACTGTAAATAGTAAGAATAAAAGAAGAGATTGACTGACACAATATACTCCTATTTTCTATTGACCATTGAAAATATTCCTTAAAGTTATGTTCCTTTTTCTTGACAGTTCAGTTGCTGTATTTAGCATTTTTTGTTATGCAACATTGAGAAAGAAATGTTTTATTTGATATTAAAATGAAGATCAGTCTAAGCCAGTGGTTCTCAACCTTTTTAATGCCGTGACCCCCACCCGGTCGTAAGTCGAGGACTACTCAACTGGTGCAGCACCGTTTGCAGAACGGGACTTTTGGTGGGCTCAACAGGGCAGAGACAGCCTGGACAATTCCTATTGGCTTTTGAAAGCCAATAGAATTAGACTCTATTCAAGAGAGTCTATTCTATTGGCTTTCAAAAGCCAATAGAATAAAAGGGAGTAGCACAGCTAAGGAAAAGGGGAAAAAAATGGCGGACTGCATTGTTTGGCGACCCCCGTGAAATGGTCATTTGACCCCAA